GAACAACAAGACCGTATTTTGTAGCAGTGTGTAGCTGACTAGTTGGGATTTGAGCGCCATTACGTATCAAATATGATGTAAATTATTTTATAGCGTCAAAGGGAAAATTATATTAATTTACCTGTCCATCAACGTTATGATAGGTTATTAAAATTTGGCTAGTGATGTTCAAATTGGTTTCCAGTGTTTACATACATTTGCTTTCAAAGTTTCATTATGCATGGCTTTCAATGCGCCCGATAGTAATACTTGAACGTGTTTATAATGTACATTTATGCAAGTCAGGGATCTTTTTAAATAACTTTATGTTTTATTTGTTAATTTATCTCGTGTTAATTAGTTCGGAAAACGGGGAGACTACAACGGTACTAATGAGCCGTCTTCGTATTCAACAAAGCGAGTCAGAGCGATTGTTTCGTTGCAAAAAAAAATCATTTAATATTCTAGTCTTTTGTCGAAATTGTAACTGCTGAAGGCTTACACTTTTTTGCTAGATAAGTAGGTGTTTTGAAAGTGTTGAAGGTGATTACTAAAAAGGTCACACTTACATGTTGTTATTTTTAATTCGATGGCATTTGTAGTAAAATAATGGGATGTACCTGACTTCAATTACAATGGTCATTCTTACACAATGCACATGTCTTTTATATTACAGCGTATCGTGTGTAAAGAACTTTAGAATGTCGCATACATTTAACTTCCTTGACCTCTATTAGTAGTCCGGTTTTCAAACGGCCTCAAGTTTAGTAGATGCCTACAGTTTTCCATTTTCTGAAGTCCATTTATAGCTGACTGTGTTTTAAGATTAGTCGCGCGCTCTGTATATCATCTTTTCAGATTTTATGTAACAGGATGAGATGAATATCTGTTAGCTAGAGTAACACACAATTATTATTTATAATACATAATAATAATTATATTAAATTTAATTAATATAGGTACCGATTTACCGATAGGGAGTGTTCATTACCACTCATTATTTATTCCGATTCTCTAGCGTATCAGCATTTGGAATATAGGTTGGTTGTTAGGTACGATTAATTTGTGCATAATTAATAATAGTGTGGCTTTGATAACTGAATACAAATGATGTCTTTTGCCTCTGCCCGCAACTTCGCACGCGTTAATCTATAGGTATACATATAATAAAACTGTAGAGAGGTAAATTCTGTACATGAAATGTATTTCCAAAATCAGGGGGCGATAGAATATAGATAGAATAGAAACACCAAACTTATACATGAAATACGTTAATAAGCCATCGCGCCCGTCGGGCGTCAATACTGAATCATGCTACAAGGTTTTTTTTTTTTATTATTTGGAACTGACGTTGGGGCTCATTTGTTTTACTCACTGACTTGTTTCACTTGTCACTTGACCACTATCTTTATTATTTTCGTCTAACGGTTGCCGCGCTTGACGCGGGTCGCGGCGGTAGGGTACAGTGGTCTGGAGTAACACATAGGCTTTTTACCCCTGGGATCGCGTCGCGGAGAACCTAACGGGTAACCGGGGCTCCGGCTCGACGTGCAGGAGAAGGAACGGGGTGGTTTTTAGTCAGTAAGAGTCTGACACTCCCTTCCGCCTCACCCAGGCGGGACCAGTCATTCGATGATTTTCCCCCTTTAAAAAAAACCGCCTGGTATCGCGAGCGAAGCCACTGGCAAAAGCTAGTTATATATACAGTGAAACTTGGTTAAGTGGGACCTGGATAAGTGAGAAACCTCCATAACCGGAACTCATGCTGAGGTCCCAACACTTTGGCACTGAATTACCTCTGTTAGTGGGACGAGGTAAACCTCTATATCTGGGATTTGTTCTTTCGATTTATCATCATAGTTACCTCTATAACTGAAACAGCGAGTAAATTTTATATGCATAAACTTCTGTAACTGAGATAACATTGTTTGTTTACTCATTCTTATTCTACCTACAAATTCCACACATAATTCCAAGTACGTAAGTACAAATCTTGAGCTTCAATTACCTTCAGTTTTAGTTTCGCTTTACTATCATACAGATGTATATTTGAAAAATGTCAAAACGAAAGCTACAATCGTTATCATTACGTGAAATACTGAAGTTAATATCGGTTTATGAAAGTGGGAAGACACTCGAATAAGTTTATGCCGAATTTAATGTGCCATATAATATGCCGTATAACTGAAATAACCTGTATTCTCACCTCTATTAATGAAACCCTCTGTAAATGAGACAGATATTTATTTATACCTGTATATCTGAGACACTGGGTAAGTGGAATACCTTTATAAGTGAAACGACATTGCAGGTCCCTTGATGTCTCACTTAACCAGGTTTCACTGTATAAACCTTCGTCTGGAATCACTCAATCTTTTAAAAAAACCTCGTTAGAATCCGTTGAGCAGTATTAAAGATTTGCATGCAAGGAGACAGACAGCTGTAAGGTGCTTTGTTATTACCTACTGATGTCTATTTGCCCCCTGTACATGAAATGGTTTGCCATATTCATCACGGCATAATCTTGGAAGAGGACTACGGATTAAAAGGTGTAGGTTTATCAGACAGTGTTGACGGTCTCTATGAGATGTGATAGTCCATTACGTAACATTATACATTACGCCTTTTATCCCCGAAGGCGTAGGCAGAGGTGTACATTATGACACTGTACAATGTAACACCCACTTTTCACTATTTATATTATGGGTCTCATGTAATAGGGGTGATCCTATTGCAATATACCGGGCACATTTCCGGGCAGATAGTAGACACGGTATGAAAATTAAAAATAAAATTAGTTCGTCAGTTACATAATGAAAAAATATTAGACACATACCAAATTTTTATTTTGTCGTATAAGAAACCAATACTCAGATAAAACGGAGTTAAGTTTAGGAGTGGGAGGTCGTTACGTCATGCTACCCTTTAAAATGTAGTAAATCATGACGTCACACGATATTTCAAATCAATATATCGTCGAAAGTATTTAATTTTGTACCGTAAAATCGGGTGAATAGGGATCGAGAGGTGAAATGGGGACCGAAGAGGAGTGAATAGATATAAGAAAATTCTTCATAGTATCGATTCACCCCTCTTCTGTCCCTTTTCACCGCTCAAACCCTATTCACCCCATTTTACTGTTACGAAAAGAAAAAATACGTGTCTAATGTTGAAATAATGTACAAGACGGACATTAAAATTAAATTTAGTATAGGTACTACCCTATTGGCTGCTGCTGACCAAAGGCCTCTTCTTGCACCGAGAAGCTTTGAGTATTAATCACCATACTTGCTGAATGCTAGTTGGCACTCACACCACGGGAAACATCAACATCACAATTCCAATTTATAAAAATATTACTTTTTTTAAATGTTTGTAGGTACGTAAATACAGCATTCCTTTATGTTTATCTGTAGGTAAATATTATTTTATTTTATGTTTTCAATTAATCGGATAAGATTTATCGATGATCATATACGGAAACATGATTCGATTAGGTACCTATTGGAAATGTGTTACTACCGATTTTTACAACGCTACATTTTATTTATTGAGATTTTTATATTAAAACTAGCGGACCCAACAGACGTTGTCCTGCATATCCACTTGAATGTATAAACAAAAATTCATTCAAATTAGTTCAGCTGTTTAGGATAAATAACCTAAACATCGACTGCAGCGCCATCTGCCGGGCTGATTTGTGAATCTAAACCATTCCCAGATCCCCTTGAACACACACAGAAAATTTCATCAAAATCGGTACAGTCGTTTGAGAGAAGTTCAGCGACATAAACACTCACAGAAGAATTATATATATAAAAGATACAAATCAGATATATTTTTCCATGTACTAGGTAGCTTTTCGCCAGTGGCTTCGCAGTTTATACTATGTCTCTTGAGAAGTTAATATTTAAAGAATAATTGGAATAACAACGACTTCAAACCCCTCTTGTTTTGTCGGTTAATCAATATATTAAAACCATCGCCTAAGTTTAACAAACACTTTTCGGAAAACCAAATCAAAATCGGCTCAGTCAATTTATAGTGAGATACCTAATTGCGCACAAACATACATACATACAGGTCAAACATAGAACCTCCTTTTTTGAAGTCGTTTAAACTGTCAAACACCAAGCGGTCACCGGTGACCGCGACCTATTGTTCTTTAATTGTGTCTATAAAACCGGTACTCGACGAGTTAAAAAGCATATTAGATTACATGTGGTACAATTTGGTGGTATATTTAGGTGAGAAGCGTAACTGTACCGTTTGGGGCCCGTGGCAAATTCATCAGACTGGCCCCCGTTCATAATAAGAAAACAAGAAGTTCAGATGAAAACCTCTAAACTCTTTCTAACTGAGGCCCATGGCATTTTCCGGTTTGCCACCCTGTAGTTACGCCACTGACTTAGGTATATCTTACATTTTTTGTCATAAAAATCCCCTAAAGAAGCTAACGATTACGGAATTTGCCAATTAATTTTATTAATCTATCTGTCCATAAAGTCGATCAAATAATTAGAGTCTAAACAAATCCAATTAATTTAATCTTTATTGATTAATTTAAATCCCATGTTTTTTTTTTGTAAGTAGGCAGCTACTTATCGGATTATCCAGCAAAATATTTTTCAAATTTTGTTTCCCAGTATTCAATGTTATTTAGATTGAAATTGACTGACTCTCTGACATGACAGTGACTCTCCATTGTTTTCTGGGATTGAGTGTGTGGTTTTAGTCGGTAAGAGTCTGACATAACCTGCTGTTTGACGCTCATTGTCTAGACAAAAGGGATCCATGAGGATTACCACATGTTAAAAACAAAAAAGCACCTCAAATTCCTAATACCCAAAAGGTCGGTAATGCACTTGTAACGCCTCTGGTGTTCGAGGTGTCCATGGGTGGCGCCGATTGCTTACCTGATGGTGATCCTAAAAACACACGTTGACCGCCCGAAAACGTGGCCGAGACCGCGCCCGAAACCGCGTCCGAAACCGCGCCTGAAACCGCGGCCGAAACCGCGCATGAAACCGCGTCCGAAACCGCGCCTGAGCCCGTGCCCGAAACCGCGTCCGATATCGTGCCCAAAACTGCGCCCGAAACCGCGTCCTATTCCGTGTCCGAGACCGCGTACGAAACCGTGTCCGAAACCGCGCATGAAACCGCGTCCGAAACCGCGCCTGAGCCCGCGCCCTAAACCGCGTCCGATATCGTGCCCGAAACTGCGCCCGAAACCGCGTCCTATAACGCGTCCGAGACCGTGCACGAAACTGCACCCGAAACCGTGCCCGACAACCATCCACAATGATGAATAAAACTAAAAAGATTTTTTTCGAAAACATGAATCTCACTAGATTCTTACGAAAATTATTAGATCGATTTTAGTAGTAACTAAATACAATGCAAGCGTTGTTTCACGCCTGTATATAGCTGTCCTAAGTTCCAATTTCAAAATGACACCACACAAAATACCCGGCTCTGGGCTGGGGTGGGGACGGCTAGTTAATAATAAGTATAATAAAAATATAAGTACCTATAGCAGAGATAGATGAAGCCTAGATGAATGATATGTGTACGTGCGTCGCAGCAGCAACACGATGTTATATTTGGGTTATACCCAAAGAATTTTCCATATTTACATTTATCTCTATTGACTTTATATACCTTTAATAATAAGTTAATGTTGTTTATATTGGAGATTAATACCTATCGTAACACATACAATCATGCATATCTATGTATATTCAAATAAACTTGCTTTCTTTACATTCTAACTCCCTTAATTAACTAACAAAATCGCGGGTTACTCACGTGAATATCCTACTAAGAAGAACCCCTCTGTGGTTCGAAACCAGTAGAGCTTTTCTTAGTATATTCACGTGAGTAACCCAAGATTTTTTAGTTAACTTAGTATATCTCACGATAGTTATTATAAAAACATTCTAACTCTCTTCAACTAAATGAATTTTAACTTTTGAATGAACTTAGCTGGTAATCTCGTGCCGTGAGATCTAGTGAGATGTAGGTACATACTTATATTCTTTATCTGTGCCGAAATGGATGTGAAAACTAAAAAGTTTGTTAACAAAGCACAAAGACACATCTAACTACATTAAATAGCACTTAACTGAGCTTCTATCCTTTGACAGCCGTCGCGGAGAACCTAACGGGTAACCGGGGCTCCGGCTCGACGTGCAGGAGAAGGAACGGGGTGGTTTTTAGTCAGTAAGAGTCTGACACTCCCTTCCGCCTCACCCAGGCGGGAGCAGTCATTCGATGATTTTCCCCCCTTAAAAAAAAAAAATCCTTTGACAGCCACTCAGAATTGTCACTTATTAAAGTTAAAAAGTTGGGTGGGAGTGCGACCGTGGTAGGATTTACGATATATGTATAGTTTACCAGTTATTTTACAACCATTTCACATCGATCTAGGCCTTAGTCTAATTAGAAACACGACTACTAACTAAATATAAGGTCATCTAAAAATATGTTGTTTGGAAAATAGTTGATAGTTTTTTTTACAAATGATACAACTACGTCTTAGTACTTTACTAATGTCGCGGAGAACCTAACGGGTAACCGGGGCTCCGGCTCGACGTGCAGGAGAAGGAACGGGGTGGTTTTTAGTTAGTAAGAGTCTGACACTCCCTCCCGCCTCACCCATTCGATGCCCCCTTAAAAAAAAGTACTTTACTAGTAGACTAACTTAGCCGACTATGAAATATATAATGTATGAAATCTATATAAAATCAGTCAAACATATAGATTTCATAAATCTATATATATGAAATCTATATGTTTGACTGAGGCAAGCAGCGGTCTCTGATAAACATGAACTTTTTATACTGCCATATGTGTTTGTATGAATCCCTGATTTTTTAACCCTAAGCCGACGATTCACCTGATGGATGAATGCAATACCAAAGAAGTCACAGATGCGTTGCAGGTCTTTAAAAAAGGTATACCCTCTTCTCTTTTTTTATTGCATAAGCCGGTAAACGAGCAGACTGATCACCTGATGGTAAGCAATCGGCGTCGCCCATGGACACCTGGAACACCAGAAGCGTTACAACCGCGTTACGGGTCTTTTGGGGATTAGGAATTTGACGATTGTTGGGGTCTCGGTAACCTCACTCACACGACGAAACACAACGCAAGCGTTGCTTCTCGTCGGTTTTCTGCTCGGCCGTGGTATCACTCCGGTCGAGCCGGCCCATTCGTGCCGAAGCATGGCTCTCCCACACTTTTTGAAGGTTAGAAGGTCATATCGGTTGGGAAATACCGCCGACCACAGATCTTTCCACAGTTTTAGGTAGAGGGCGTCCATAGTCCAACAGCAGGAAAAAATGGTGTATGATAATATATATTTATATTTAGGTATTGGATATCCACACCATAGTACAAATCATGACATGTGGGGAAAAAGCGTTTATCATAAACACGATAATTTTAATGTTTCTCAGTACAATGGATTACGTGTTGCCTACCTACCTACTTTTTAATAATGTACTCTAAAAGGTTAATAAAAGTGACATTTTCCTATATTTTGCCATTTATAGTTGTAATAATATATATTATTATATTTACCTAGAATTTTGTTAGTTATATTAATATATAATTGGCTAAAATGGTATTAACTGGATGATGAAGCGTGGGCAGGCCTCCCGTTAGGTGAAATGACGACATCGCCAGAGTGGCGAGGAGCCAGTGGATGCAGCCATGCAGGTGGAGAGTTGTCGTTCAACGTGGAGGACTAAGGGGGCCTTTGTCCAGCTGCAGACGTCTTCCGGCTGTTGATGAAAATTGTATTTTCTATTGACATGATTAAGTAGGTATCCATGCGTATACGAACTATTTTCCAATTTATTTATTATTTATTTCAATTAAATAGTATAACATTACAGTCATAAAACCAAGGCGTTATACATTTCAAATAATTATAAAAGAAAAAAAAACAAAACAGAGCAGTCCTTAAATAAAACAAACAATAAGAATAAGAAAACCTTACAAACCAATAACAACTGCGTAATCCTGAAGACCTAAGACATTTAATACTTGGAATTTGATACATTAATATACACATGATATACAATGATATTAATATACACATTATTGCCAATGACCATTTTCGCTTTAACATTATATAAATACCTCTAGTAACTAGAGGTATAACATGTTATTTAATTGCGAACTCATTATTCGCAGCACTTTTGCGATAAATCAACTAATGCGACCTTGGTTTACATTTAGATAGTCATTATACTATTGTTACCTTATGCATACTAAATGTTTGGATCCAATAAGTATATTAAATAATCTACTATATGAGTAAGTATAAACGTTTTTATGCAACAATAGCGCCATCTAGTATGCATAAAAACTTAAACCTTCGTTACTATAATTAACAGTTGTTAAAGATACGTAAGTAAAAATGCACCAAAATCATTCGCCCTAAGAATTAAAAAAAAACCACCAAAAAGAAGTCAACAGTATAATAAGAAAATAGGTTTTTTTATGGAATAGGACGCAAACGAGCACTCGGATCACCTGGTGCTGGTGGTAAGCGATCAGCGCCGCTCATGTACACCCGCAACGCAAGAGGAGTCACAGGTGCGTTGCCGGCCTTTTAAAAAGGAGTACGCTCTTTTCTTGTAGGTTTAAAGGTTACAGAAATCGCGATATAAAATAATCCATTTGTACACACGGCTACACATCGAGCTTTACATACCCAGTACAAACTGAACGTTAAATGTGCGGAAAGATGATACGACGCGACACCAGGATAAACTGGTTTTGTATAGATTGATGTGTGGCTGTGTCTACACACATACATTTCAAAACCCCTTAAACAATTTTATGGTCCGTGTATCAACAAAATTACAGCGTAACCACAAGGCAATGTGGGTTCATAATGTATTTATAGGAAACCCATAGTTTCTGTGAATGCATTACTCGTTTTTTTTCGTGTCAGCTAATTTTCCAATGTTTTACCTCGATTGTTTCGAAGTGGGGGCTATAGGCGTATCGTAATGAGACCAATTAGTTTGTACTGTATAACAAAATTCCAAGAAATTGATGCAATTTGTCTCCTGCCATGTTCCGCGTCCTCAATGTTGGGTTAATTACCAGCCGATTAAAATAGCATTAACGAAATTATGTACGGTAATGGCGGCGTAGTGCGTATACGCAACTTTTATCGTGTCTTTGCATTGTTTTCACATATGCGTACAGTATTGGAATATGTATCTGAGACATTGTAGAACATACTTTTTTAAAAAGAGTAACGAGTGGAGTTTTGTGCTCGTTCTTCTCCATTCGAATCTACATTGTGGAATGAGCACCTAGCTTCACCTAGCTTCACGGACGGACTGACTGACAGACTATTATTTATTTTGTATTTGTTGACGTTTAAAAAGTACCAAATTGTGGTGTAATTGAAATAAATGCTTTGACTTTGACTTTTATGGTGTTGCGTTATAGTTTCGCCTTCTGTTAATGGCGACAGAACGTGTTTATGTGTTTCTCTAATGAATCAATCGTTACTTAGAATCTGTTTGTTTATTGTCATCGTTAATGCACTTCCCGTTATTGCATTATTTCCTCGTTCAGGTAAATACCTATTTATTTGTTGTTGTAACGTAATATAGAGCTGTTTTCCCTGAAAATACCAGTACAAGTTTCTACAGGATTGTGACTAATGTCTTATCTCATGAAACAGTAGACGGAGGATAAATGCCATATAACATCAACAACTTATGACAATCCTCTGTTAGTCTATGGGCCCTCTTTAATAAGCAACATAACATCTAGCTTTGTTATCCCCGAAGAGGTAGACATAGGAGCACATTACGGCACTTAATTCACTGTATAATGTAACACCCACTTTTCACTATTTATGTTATGGATACTTTGTCCGACCCGGGAATTGAACCTGAGACACCTTGCCTGGCAGTCGCACTTGCGACTAATCGGCTAATGATGCAGTCTGTATAAGCACTTCTGATGACTTCTGTCATAATATTCAATATGGTAGACTGGTCGATCGCAATTTAAAAGGCTCAGGTTTATCACAGAGCACTGCTTACTAATGCTATACACGGGCATCAATTGTTACTTCAAGCCTTGTTTAAAAAAAATAACTTGTTTAAAAAAATAGTTTTCTAGTGATTGTATTTAAAACAGGTGGGACGTGGCACTAAGTATAACACGACTGAGGAAGTCGATTTTAGTTCCGACATAATAAATAAAACGAAGTGAAAAACCGTGTAAGCGTGATATGCAGCAGTTAGTTGAAATGTTCTTGGAAAGTATCCAT